TTTACTTCAGAGCTAGCTGACCTCATGCACAGGAGAGATCATCTTTGGGCCACAGCGAGAAAATCTGACTCAGACACTAATTGGTTGAGTTTTCGACAGATGAGGAATAAATGCACAACTGCTGTCAAAGCAGCAAAACGCAACTATTTCTTATCTCAGACCTCCAAAAATCTAAATGACCCTAACAGATTCTGGAAAACCATCAAATCTCTCTCAGGCACCCCCCAATCATCTGACCTCCCAGCACAACTTCTCGTTAACTCTGTTCCTGTGTTAAATAAGCACGAGATCCTGAACTGTTTCAAAAAACCTTTTGTTGCTTCTAGTTGTTTATTTGACACAGTTACTAATGGAAAATCAGCCACTTCACTTAATAATTAAACTTCTAAAAATCAAATCCCTCCTACAAGTCAATCCTCAGTTAATCTAACCTTCTCTTTTTCTCCATTCTCAGTCAGTGAGGTCAATAAACTGTTAAAAGATCTTGACCCTAAAAAATCTGCAGGTCCAGATGAACTTCCACCTTATTTCTTAAGGCTGGCTGCTCATATCATCACAGTCCCTGTGACCCACATCTTTAATCTCTCCATAAGACAAAACTCCATCCCAGACACTAGGAAAACAGCCTTTGTTCTTCCTTTGCTGAAGGGAGGTGACCCCACCTCACTGAACAACTATGGACCAATCTCTAAACTCTGCATTTTAGCCAAGGTTCTAGAAAAACTGATAAACTCTCAAATCAAAAATTACCTGGACTCATTTAACATCTTACCTCCACATCAATCTGGTTTCAGAAACAGCACAACCACTGCTTCACTGAAGGTTCTTAATGACGTTGTTGAAGCACTGGATGCTAAGGATTATTGTGCTGCACTTTTCTTAGACCTGTCTAAAGCTTTTGACACTGTGGATCATAACATCTTGTGTCATAAACTCTCAGAAATTGGTTTCTCAGAACACACCATTGGTTGGTTCTCTAACTATCTTTCAGACCGGAGGCAATGTGTTCAACATAATGGTACTTCCTCCAGTTATTTAACAGTCAACAATGGTGTACCACAAGGCTCAGTCTTAGGACCCACCCTCTTTACAATCTACATACATAATGTAGGTAAAAACATCCCTAATGCATCCATACATTTCTATGCTGATGACACAGTTGTTTATTGTCGAGCTAAAACTGTTGCTAAGGCTTTCCAGCTTTTGAAATCTGCATTCAACTACATCCAGACAGATTTGTTCCACCTCAAACTTGTCCTAAATGCCGACAAAACCAAAGGGATGCTTTTTTCAAATAGGAAGTTGGTCCCAGCAGTTCTTCCTCCAATTTTATCCTCAAATGGTGTCCCCATTAAGTTTGTTGATTCCAATAAATATTTGGGTATCTTGGTCGACTCACATCTCTCTTTTGAGCTCCATGTGGAAAACTTGGTAAAGAAACTGAAAGTTAAACTGGGTTTCTTTTTCAGAAACAGATCCTGTCTAACCCTGAATGCTAGAAAACGCCTTGTTTCTGTGACTTTCCTTCCCTCCATTGATTACGGTGACATTATTTACATGAGCGCTCCTACAAGAACCCTGCAGATGTTGGATGCTGTCTATCATGGTGCACTAAGATTCATAACTGGCTGTGATTATCGTACCCACCACTGCACCCTGTATTCACTGGTTAACTGGACATCATTAACTTCACGCAGACTCTCTTACTGGTAAATTTTCATCTTTTAACAGTTCTCTGCAAACGACTCTGCCTCTGTCTGGAGGGGACTGAAAGAGATAACTAATTACAAGCCCAGAGCACCTCATTCTACAGACAATCTCAAACTGGCAAACGATTTGAACGACTTCTATTCACGCTTTGAAGTCATGGACTCACATTCCTCCATCCTCCACACCAACCCCAGCTCAACTGGTTTAACCACTTGGGACTGTCCCCGACAACCCCCTGCTATCTCTGTACAAGAGGATGAAGTAAGGAGGCTTTTTAAAAGGCTGAATACACATAAGGCTGCAGGCCCAGACCTTGTGTCACCCTCCACGCTGAGATATTGTGCTGGAGAGTTGGCTCCGGTCTTCACAGGGATCTTCAACTCTTTTCTGGAGTCATGCCACGTCCCAGCCTGTTTCAAGTCCTCCATCATCGTCCCTGTCCCCAAGAAGCCACGTGTCACAGGACCAAATGACTACAGACCTGTAGCTCTCACGTCTGTAGTCACGAAAACCTTTGAACGCTTGTGTCTTTGAACGCTTGGTTTCATCTCACCTCAAGTCCATCACCAACCCCCTCCTGGACCCCCTGCAGTTTGCCTACAGGGCCAACAGGTCTGTAGATGACGCAATAAACCTGGCTCTTCACTTCATCCTGCAGCACCTGGACTCCCCAGGAACCTACGCCAGGATCCTGTTCGTGGACTTCAGCTCCGCATTAAACACCATCCTCCCTGCTCTGTTCCAAGACAAGCTCTCCCTGTTCCATGTACCTGACTCCACCTGTAGGTGGATCACAGACTTCCTGACAGACCTGAGTCAGTGCGTGCGGCTGGGGAGAGCTGTCTCGGACACTCGGACTATAAGCACAGGATCTCCACAGGGCTGTGTGCTTCCCCCCCTGCTTTTCTCCCTGTACACCAACTGCTGCACCTCCAGCCATGACTCTGTGAAACTTATTAAGTTTGCAGATGACACCACCCTCATGGGCTCATCTCGGACGGTGATGAGTCAGCATACAGGAGGGAGGTGGACCGGCTGGTGACCTGGTGCAGCAGCAACAACCTGGAACTCAATGCCCAGAAGACAGTGGAGATGATTGTGGATTTCAGGAAAGCCACAGCCCCTCTGCCCCCCCTCACCTGTAATGATACCCCCATCACCAGTGCAAATTCTTATCGGTTCCTCGGCACCACCATCACCCAGGACCTCAAGTGGGAGCCGACCATCAGCTCCCTCATCAAGAAGGCCCAGCAGAGACTGTACTTCCTGCGACAGCTGAAGAAGGCCAAGCTGCCGGCCAAGCTGATGGTGCAGTTCTACACGGCCATCATAGAGTCCATCCTCAGCTCCTCCATCACGATGTGGTACGCCGGGGCCACTGCCAGGGACAGACTCAGACTGCAACGCGTTGTGCGCTCAGCTGAGAAGGTGATCGGCTGCAGCCTTCCATCCCTCCACGACCTGTACGTCTCCAGGACTGTGAGGCGAGCAGGTCGGATCACAGCTGACCCTGCTCACCCTGCACACGGACTGTTTGAACCACTCCCCTCAGGCAGGAGGCTTCGGTCCATTCGGACCAGAACCTCCCGCCATAAGAACAGTTTCGTCCCCTCTGCTGTTGGACTCCTGAACACTCATAATGCTACCTCATAATTTCTGCTTTGGTCACATTACATCTGTATTATAACTGAATACTCCATCTGTACTGTTCTCTAAGCTTTTTTATTGTTTTCTATTGTATGGGTGTACATATGGTTATGTTATGTTTTTAATTTTACTTTATTTGTGGGTGTACACAAGTCTTATGTCTTATGTAATGTTCTCATTTTTACTTAATTTTTACTTAATTTTTACTTAATTTTTACTTTATTTTATTTTATTACTATTCGCACCTTATGTCGAAGCAAATTCTGTCACGGTCAGCGGCCCCCGCTGCCCCCCCCATCTGCCTAAGCCTCTGCCTTCAAGCTGCAACCAGGAACCAACATTTATATCTTCAAACAATCATCCCACAAACTAAATCATTTCCTTCCATTTCTAGGTTCTGTCTCTGTCTGCTCTTTATATTTTTGTTGTTCTGCTCTGTGTGTGATTTTCTGTTTATCTGATTCTGTTATTCTCCACTCACTCCTCAGTCTGCCTCTCCACTCAATCTTTATCATTCACACCTGTCCCTCATCAGCCACCTGCCCAGGTGCTCTCGTTACTCACTCTCCCTCTGTCTCATAAAAAGCCTGTCTCTCCTTCACTCCTTGTCCGGTGATTGTTCTGTGTTCACAGATTTCTCAGTCCTCCTCTGTCTTGTCAGTTTTTGTCCCTCTGATGATCTGCTCTGCCTAGTTTCTGATCCTGTCTGCCAAAGTAAGTTTTGCTGCACCGACAGCCTTTTGTTTTGTTATTTAAAATAAATTATTTTTATTTTAAACTCCTGCCTCGCTCGCCTCCCTGCAATTGGGTTCCAACCTCGAGGATCGTGACAAATTCCTAGTTTGTGAACCTCGTTCATTGACATGGCAATAATAAACTGATTCTGATTCTTCTTGGTCTGCTGCCTTCATACATCTCCTCCTACATGTCTCTGCTTGAGTGCAGCTACGGAGTGCGCTCTCAGGACATTATTACCTGCAGGGTTCCCTCAATGAGGACTGAACTAGGCAAAAGGGCCTTCTCCTACTCCGCTCCTGTTTCCTGGAATATCTTACAAAAAGTAGTAGAAGTAATGAGCGCTGTAAACTATAACCTTTTCCTGCCTTGATTTTAATACATTTGGTAAAACTGAATTCATGTTTCCTTGATTTATTGATAGTATGAGCTGCCACTTCTTCTGAGGGAGATTTGAGCCAGGGGGGAGGGACGTGGGCTGGAGGCGGGTCCTGGGTCCGAGAGGGGACCTCTGGGTGACCGGTGACCCGCAGCCAGCCCTCATCCTGACGCAACAGCTTAAAACATGCCTCTCTTGTAAATGAGTCTGTGAGGCTCAGTGAGACTAACCTGTGGAAATAAAGGTTGAATTAGTCTAATTTTAGTGTCTTAGTTCCAAAGTAAGAAGTTATTTTTGAAAAAATGCAGTAACAAATGAGTTATGCCTATCTTATTAATCCAACGCAAAGCTCATTAGACAAATATCTAAAGGCTGAACTACAAATGAAATAATAATAAAAAAAAGTTTAGTTAACATCTGTTTAGAAGCTACAAGTGATTCAGCTGTGATAACAACCAGTAGTTACCAGAGGGCGATGGGTGACGGAGAGGGTTTCATAAGAGCAGTGAGCTACCAGGTGCTGACCCACCTTGTGGCCTATGGCAGCTCCAGCTCTGAGCAGGTAGCAAACTGTGTCCAGCTGGTTGTTTTCACAGGCTGCCATCAGCGGAGTTCTGTGCTCCACATCAAACATGTCCAGGTTGGCTCCAGCCTGGGTGCACAAACAGAGTCAGCATCATGCCCTGTGAGGGTCACCATGATCTGCAAGGATTTCACTGGCATTTTTCATTTAAATGTTTGAACAGAACATAATCTTTATTACCCAAAGACTTTTTATTGATAGTATTAATTTTTTATTCTGAATTTCTCAAATAGTATGAAATGTATTGAAAAGGCTCTGACTGTACCCACAGACTTTTGAAACAAACTGATGTTGAGAAAAACCAGGGCTGAACAGACATGAGCAGCGTTCCACATGTTGCAATACTAAAGCTTGGGTCACCTCACCTGGACCAACATGTGGCAGATCTCCTGATGACCCTCTGCAGATGCTGCATGAAGTGGGGTGCGTTTGTTTTGGCCCTCAATTAAAAGGTTGGGGTCCTTCCCATCCACTGTAAAAAACAATGAGGTTTTATCAAAGAACATGCTCAATATTCATTCAGCCTTTATTTAGACATGTAAAGCCCATTAAGCCTCGAGGACTCATTACAAGAGAGACCTGATTTCAACAAAGAATGATGACAACAATGGACAACAGCGACAACAATAAACAGTTATAAAAAGTCATACAGTCATACAGATTTTATTTTTTCAACAAATACGATGGCTAAAAAAAAAAGAAAAGTAACAAAAAACAGCTAGATTCTAAGGCAAATGTAGAAAACTAAAAACAGGAACATGTCTGCATTGGTCCCTGCCAGGAGTCCAACAGATTCTTAAAGCCACTTATGCCCCTTTTCCACCGTCACGGCGCGGGTCGGATATTTCCGGCTTGATGCGCGTTTGAGGTCTTTCCACTGTTCCTGTGACCGGCTCACCTCGCTAAATTCTGGCCCGGCTTCTCAAGGGGTCCGAGCGAGCCGCGCCGTGACGTCAGAAACACTGTCGGTCACTGATTGGTCGGGGGGAGGAGTCTGTGGAGTCTTTCCAAACAACCCGATCCACCATTTTTTCTCTACCGCTTGCCATTAGCGATAACACGAGGAGCGTATCTTTTAGTATTTTGAAGCTATACAACAACAATAATATCAAAGCCGTGGTCAAATGCAGAAGTGCAGGTGTTGTTGTGCTTGGTGGCCGACGAAAAAAGTCAAAGCGAGCTAGATGGAGGATTGGAGGGTGGTTTGGACACGGTTACTGCTCTACTTGAACCATTTATAGAAGATGGTGAGTGTTTTCTAACTTTAAACATATTTTAAATTACTCATCCCATCGGTTCTGAACATATTTTTAACTAACAAAAGAGGCTGACGCCATAATAGGACAACGTCGGTGCTACGATGCTAAGCTAATTTGCATAAATGCTAACTGTCCTCCGGTCCCGTTTCTCACTATATTTTATCCAGAACGTATTTCAGCGCGTGATGGTTCATCTCTAAACTCCACATTAAACCCTCCAAGCCTCCCGGCTCCTGCTCCATCAGAGGAGTCTACACCTGACAGAGCTCCATCATAGCCCAGCTGCACCTCACAGAGCAGCACAACGCTGCAGCCTTCTGTGCTCGGTAAGATGCAACATGTTCCACATCACTTTATTTGTGCCGATAAGGACTTGATTTATTTTATTTTTAAAGTAAAAAACTAAAATGTTGAATAAATACTGAAATGGGATGAAATTATGTACTTTGTACACAGGGTCCCAGTTACAGACAACAAAATGTAAAAGAAAAACAGTAATAAGATCTAAGATATGAATTAAGAAAAATATCAACTAAAAAACATCTACTAATAAAACACTAAGCACTAATAGCAGTAAACAATCAAAACAATATGTCAAACAGCAACATGAACTAGAGTTTGTGCAGCCTTATGAATATATAACACTGTGAAGAATCACATCATGTTGCTGCTGATCAGTTTCATGTTGCTGCTGATCAGTTTCATATTGATGTGTTCATGCATGCTCGTCTGTTCACACAGACTCATGTCCGTGCTGCTGTTCTGCGTATTGTGTTTAATGTTTTTATGCTATTAGAGCTTATCATATTTTTAGTTGATGTTTTTCTTAGTTCATATCTTAGATCTTATTACTGTTTTTCTTTTATATTTTATTGTTGGATGTAACTGGGACCCTGTGTACATAATTTTGATCCACCACATGTACCACACGTGGTGCGAATGACAAAGAATATCTGCATCTGTATAATACTTTCTGATTCATATATACATTATTATCATTTTCATTATTTTCAAATCAATTTATTTTTCATTTTCTTATTTGATCAGTTTATTATTATTAATATATCTATTATAGCTGTTAGCTGCACCTTTCTTTGTTTCATGCATTTATTCAAAAACAGTATGTAGCTTGAATTAACCACCTTTTTCTTCTTTCTAGTCAAGAGAAAGAGAAAAGAGTCCAATAAAGAAAAGTCTTATTTCATCACTGAATGAACATGAAGAACTGAACCGGACACGGCAGGAACAACACTTGTGTCTTCTTCTGGATGAAGCCCGTGAGACGAGGGACACAGATACACAATCATTAGTTGGAGGCAGTATTTTTTATTTTTGTACATTTTTCACTTCTTACTTTTCCTATTAAACATTTTTTTCTTAAGTGGTGTCCTTGAACATTAAATTTCCTAAACAAATTTTACAATGTTAAGTTCATATTCAGAAGGAACAAAAACACCTACACCCCCCTGAACATAAGAGGATCTGCGGTGGAAGTGGTCTCCAGCTACAAGTACTTGGGTGTACACATGAATGACAACCTCAGCTGGAGCAACAACACCACCAGCCTGATCAAGAAAGCTCATCAGAGACTCTACTTCCTCAGACGGCTGAGGCGAGCTGGTCTGGGAAGCTCAGTCCTCACCTCCTTCTACAGGTGTGCAGTGGAGAGCATCCTGTGCTCGAGCATCAATGTGTGGCATGGAGGCTGCACAGCTGCAGAAAGAAAAGCTTTGCAGAGAGTGGTGAAGGCTGCACAGAAATCTGTTGGAATCAGTCTCCCCACCATCACAGACATCTACACCTCCAGATGCAGGAAGAGGGCCACCTGCATCATGAAGGACCCCACCCACCCAGCACACACACTTTTTGCCCCACTCCCCTCAGGAAGGAGGTTAAGGAGCATTAAGTGTAGAACCACTAGACTGAGGAACAGCTTCTACCCTGAGGCTGTTAGACTCATGAATCTCTAACTAGAATAATCACTGTGAAAAACCATATCATGTTGCTGCTGATCTGTTTCATGTTGCTGCTGATCTGTTTCAATGTTGATGTGTTCATGCGTGCACATCTGCTCACAGACTCATGTTCATGTTTGTGGTGATGTTCAATGTTTTATGTTATGAGTGCTTAGTGTATATTTAGTTGATGCATTTCTTAGTTCATATCTTAGATGTTATTACTGTTTTTCTTATACATTTTATTGTTGGATGTAACTGGGACCCTGTGTACATAATTTCGCTCCACCACATGTACCACATGAGGTGCGAATGACAATAAAGAAACTCTGACTCTGACTCTGACTCATATAGTGTTTGTTTAAATTCATACTGGAAGTTGAGAAGAATTTCCAATTGCATTTGATCTTTAATGAATCCTAAGAAAAGATTACTAGAATCTGCTCAATTGTTTTTATGTTATAAATGTTTTGTTCTAGGATGAAGTGAGACAAAAACAGTCAAAAATTCAGAAAGGACAGTTATCAATTATCAGTCATCAGTTATCTTTTAGCAGTTATCGTTTATCGTCCGTACAACTGTGGCCCGAGAGATTCATCTGAAAGTCCTGGTGCACCTTTTATTTGAACCTGCAGAGATTTGAACAGCTGATCTGAAGCAAACAGGCAGGTGTTCAACTGAACTGACCACTCCTGCTGTGTTTGCTGGTGGTCTCCTCCTTCGCCATCCATCCATCATCCATCCATCCATCCATCCATCCATCCATCCATCCATCCATCCATCCATCCATCC